GGGTCCTGGGGAACCCGGGTCGGGAGACATGGTGGCCAGGGGGGGGGGGGTGCCCTAGGATGAGTTTCCCTGCCTCATGCTGCCTTGGCAGCTGGGTGGGAAAGGGGGCCAGTGGGCCGCATAGCTGCGTGCCAGCACGCAGGCCGGCACATAGCGCGCGCGCACACACACGTGCGCGTGCACACACACACACACACACACACACACACAAACACACATGTCCCGGCATGTGTGCGCACGCAAACAAGGTCACGTGCATGCGCACACCCACACGTTTACATGTTTACGCACTCACATGTTCATGTGTTTGCGCAGGCCCCTTCCTGGGGTGGCGGCCCGGGCTACTCGGCATCAGAGAGCGATTTCGACCCCTCAGAACAGTCGGCCCTCTCCCGCCAGCCATCCTTCGGCGGCGCGAGTGATGCGGGCTGGGCGCCAGACACGCCCCGCAGCGGCGCGAGCGCCGGGGACGCTTCTGTTGGCGCCCCCGCCGCCGCTTTCTGGCCCGCACCCGCTCCTGCACAGCAGCAGCCAGTCGGCCGCGAGGCGCTGGATCCGGCCCTCGACGCCCCTTTGCTCCCAGCCAGCGGCTCCGGCAGCGCCCTGGCTGCTCTTGGCGCCGCATCAGCGGCCGCTGCTGCTGCGGCGGCGGCCGCCGCGCAGGGGCGGCTCAGCAAGGGCCAGCGGCGGAAGTTTGCGGCTGTGCTGGAGGCCTTCTGGGCCGAGTTTTACGACTCTCACGGCCAGGCCAGGTATAGGGGTCCGAGTCAGGAGGACCAGCAGCAGCCGCCGCCACCGCTGCTGCCGCAGCAGCAGCAGTCGGAGGAGCAGCAGCAGCGGCAGCATTACCAGCAGCAGTACCAGCAGCAGCATCGGCACCAGCAGCAGCACCAGCAGCAGCACCAGCAGCAGCAGCAGCAGCAACACCAGCAGCAGCAACACCAGCAGCAGCCGCAAGCGGCGCTTTCGCCGCTGTCGTGTGCTCACGGCCGCGGCTGGGCGGCGTCCTGCCCAGCCTGCGGCGACGCCCTGCTGCTGCGCGTGCGCGGCTGCATGAAGCGGCTCTCCGCAATAGAGGGCGCGGCGGCAGTCCTGCGTTCTGAGGAGGGCGGCATTCCGAGCGCGGCGGCGCCGGGCGCGCTCGGCAGCCTGCCACTGCCAGAGCGCGCGCGGCCGGCGTACTGGCCGGACGCGATTTTGGAGTGCGGCGCGGCCACGCGGCACCTGCAGGCGGTGGCCGCGTTCGCGTCGGGCAACCTGCCGTGGGCCCAGGCGGCCGCGGCGGCGCCAGCGCCGGGGCTGGGATGGACCCCAGGCGGCGGCGGCGGGGCGCCGGAGGCGAGGCGGTGGCAGTGCCCGGGGCTGTTTGCGGCGCCGGGCGGCCAGGGGGCTGTGCCACCGCCCGGGGGTCAGCTGTTTGGCCAGCGGGAGCTGGGGCCAGCGCTGTTTGTGTCGTGGGGCGTCTGGTGCATGCTGGTGCTGCTGGTCTGGTGCCAGGTGAGGATAAAGCTGCAAGGGGGGGAGCGTTGGGGTTACACTCGCACCGCAGTGGGCGCCTGTGGGGGCGATGGCGCTGCCAAAGCTTGCATGGTTGCCTCACGGATGAGCCGGCGCTTGCGGCCGCGTTCCATCACCCAACTGAAGCTGCAAAACCCAGGGTTGAGCTGCAAAGCTTCACCCCACAGCAATCCTCAATCCGGGCAACCCCTTGTCCTTTGTCGACCGCGCGGTTCCTGTCACTCATTCTCCTCCCCCCCCCCCTCCCTTGTCTCAGGTCGAGGTGCGGCCGGAGCTGCTAGGTGCCTACGCCCCCACACTCAACCGCCTGCAGGGGCTGCTGGCTGACGCCGGGCTCGACCCGCCCGCATCAGCACCACCAACCCCACCTCAGCAGCAGCAGCAGCAGCAGCAGCAGCAGGAGCAGGAGCAGGAGCAGCAGCGGCAGCCGTGGTGGCCGTGGCCGGGCGCAGAGCGCCACGCGCTGCGCGCGCTGCTGCTGCGGCAGCTGGAGGCGCTGGAGGCGGTCGTAAGCGAGCGACAGGGCGCGGCCGGCAGCGGGGCCGCGGCTGCGTACGCGGGGGCGAAGCGCATCGTGCACAGCGTGGCCAAGCGGTTGCGCCGGCGGCTGCTGCACGGCAGCGCATACCAGCTTGCACAGCAGCAGCAGGCGCACCAACAGCAGCAGCAGCCGCAGAATCACCAGCAGCAGCAGCAGAAGCAGCAGCAGCAGCAGCAGAGGGACCCGTTGGCAGGCGGAGGCGGCAGGCGCCACCGTGGGCGTGGTGGGCAGGCACACGGGGACCATTCTGGCGGCGCCGAAGGCAGGGGCGGCGGGCGACATTGGCAGGGCGGAGGCGGCGGCGGCGGCGGCAGGTCGGCGCGTGGAGCGGGCCGACATGGTGGTGTCGGCGGTGGGAGCCTGATGCTGCTGGCCTTGCCGCTGCTGGCGGGCGGGCTGCTGGTGGCGTGTGCCAGCAGCCGGAGCGTCGCTGGCTGGGCGCAGTCGGCGGCTGCGGGCGCAGCGGTGCTGGCGCGCTGACATGTTGGGCGGACTGCGCCCTAAGCGCTGCTGGGTCGTACGACTGTGCCACCACTATTTCCACACAAGCCTTTCCCCTTGTGCCTTGCTGATCAATCCTGACAACAAACTTCCGTCCTTGCTTCCTACCTTTCACAAACCCAACGCACACGCGGCCACTGTGCTGCAATAACATGAGCGGCCCTTGTATGTGGTGTAGCAACGTCATCACGAGCGGTTTCTATGGCTGACTGGCAGTGTGTGTCTGTCAGTATTTGTGTGCACGCACGCACGCGTGCGTGGCATGCTTCCTGTGCAGATGTGTGCGCGCGTGTGTGTGTGTGTGTGTGTGTGTGTGTGTGTGTGTGTGTGCGCGCAAGCTAACACGTGTGTGGAAACCACTCCTGTAGGGGGCTGAAAGATGCTTCCTCTGACTTTGAAGGAATCGCGTGTTGCTCCCTCTCTCCGCCCCCGCACATGCGGCAGGCACAGCTGCCGAAGTGGCCAGGCTGGCTGAATGCCTGACGGCTGCTCCTGGCTGAGTACCGTCTGCCCATGCCTACCAGCACACAGCTTGCGTATCGCAACGTGCGAGTCAGCTGTTGCCACAGTGACTCTGCAATGTGCCACAGTGTTGTTGCCAGCGCGCTCACACGGGGGTCAGCATACGCAAGGGTGAGCGCCGGTCCGGCGCTGCACGCTTTGTAATCAAGTCCAGTTGCGCAGTCCAAAGACGGTCAGGATGGAGGGGCGTCTGCATCACCCAGTTACAATCATATACAGAGTTTTACAAAATGGACTCAAATCGGGTTGAACGCGAGCCATGCGGACAGTGAGCCAAGTGCCGTGCCCTCATGACATGGTCTGCGGGGCATGGTCCGCCCCAGTCCTCCCACCCTGGCTCACACTGCTGCGATAGGTGATACGCAAAGCGCTGCCCTCGTATGAGAGAGTCAATCTACTCTAAGCAGTTTCCTGTGTACTTCATGGCAGCAACATAGCCATATGGACCTCCACCGGGCTCGATGCAGGGGGTAATCGCAAGCGGCGGCTGCTCATGCTGTGAGTCATGCCTCAACAACATGGGGACAGCTCGCCGTGTGCCGCCTAGAGCCACAACAGAGAATCGAAATTCGAGCTTTTTACCTTTATCAACTCGGTCCATGGACCGCCACGCAGTCCGGACACACCCATCCCGTGACAAAGGGCCGGTGTGTCACGAAGCGTGGTCAGAAACCAGGGTGCGAGAACTTTGGTGAGAGCCGCAATGAGTATAAAACGCGCACTGATTTTATTCAATTGCATTCCACCACCTTCACCCACGCCTCCCCACTCTCAAACAGTCCATCGCTCCCGCTCTTCAGGTGGGCACGATCGTCCGGGATGTTGCATAATGCTTGAAGCAAGTGTATTGAGCGTTAGATCAGGGGTTGCATTGAATACCAACGTGTCCAGCCACCCCAGCCCCCCCTCCCCCCCGGGGGCCGCCCTCAGACTCCAAC